TTGGCAACCAATTGAATCATATGAAAAGGATTCAACTCTTTGTTGTACACGAGAAAGGTCTGGTAATTTACTCTCTCTTGCTCTTTCGCATAAAAAAAATACTAACATAATTTTGTGCATTGATTAATACAAATGGAATATTTCATGAGTATTACAGAGGGAGAAAGAAATGGAGGGGAAATTAATCGAAAAAACATTTCAGATACCTACTAAATATTCAGTTGTGATGAATACGAATGTAGGTATGTTAAAACGTGAAATAATTCATTATAGAGCGATGATAAATCAATTCTTTGACGTTGATTGATTCGTTCAATTTTACAATAATGCGGCGACTAATCGGTTAAGAACGACAGGCTTCGGTATCTACTCAATCTTTTGACCAATACAAAATTCAGCTGTAGTTGATACAAAGACAAGAAAGCAGAAAAGAGGGAGATGCAAGAATAATGACATTGACGATGATAAAAGTTTGTATACAAAATAATCAAAAAATGTGTTCTGAGCTCATATTTGCTTGACTTTTAGAAAGTTTTATATACCAGCGTGTTGTTGAACATTAAGTTCAATTTAAAATGTGTGTGTGTAACTATTGAACGTTTCTTTCTGTGCAATAGGGAAGTGTGTGAGACAAGCTGAAAAGGGGAGGGGAATCAGAAATCTCTCCTCTCATTTCATTCCTTTTTTTACGATTTTCTTTTTTTTTTTTTTTTTTTTTGGGGGGGGGGGGTTAATTGTCATTTCTGTTACGATTTGTTTTTAACGACTACATGATTGTCTTATCTAATTTTACTCACAATAACAGAAGTAAGCGTTCTCTATTCTTAAATAAAGGTAATGAGAAATCATCGGGGAAGTAAGACCGACTTTGCTTTTATACATGTATCAAATATAAACTTTTTACTTTTAGATATTGTTTTGATGAAGTTATAAGTATAATTGCATTATGTCATATGTAATATAAGTTTGCACTATTTTGTATCTTAATTGTGCAATTAATCTATTCGATTTTGTTTGTTGAGAGAAATTCCAAATCAACAACTTCATCAAAATCAATCCCCCCTCTCCCCCAAAAAAACTCAGCCACTGTAGAATGGAGAGCTTTCTTCGCAAGCATAGTGCGTGTGTGCGTGTGTGGATGTGTGTGTTTTTTGGACTAAAGTCTCAATTGATACTTGATTTCTGATGTATTTCTTTTTAGCTTACATTCTTAGTTTTTTACTTCTTGATGAAGGATATAAAGCATATGTACTATGCACTCTTTCCGAGGCACCTGTAAATTTAATGATCTTCGGAGACTAGTGCTAAGCCAGTCATAGAGAATTTTTAATTTTAACTGAAGCCTCTCAGTGCATGGTATATTTGATTATTTATTCAGATTTCATTTGGTAACTTTCCATATTTGATCAATATGAGCTGTGGTTGGAGCGATGGATGCGGTTAACGGCGTTGCTGTATCTAGTGGATTAATCATATTCATATTCTGAATATTGGCAACCAATTAAATCATATGAAAAGGATTCAATTCTTAGTCATACACGAGAATTGTCTGGTAATTTATACTCTCTTGCTCTCTCGCATAAAGTAAATACTAACATAATTTTGGGCATTGATTATTAAAGACAAATTGAATATTTTATGAGTATTAAAGAGGGAGAAAGAAATGGAGGGGAAATTAATCGAAAAAACATTTCAGATACCTACTTAATAATCAGTTGTGATGAATACGAATGTAGGTATGTTAAAACGTGAAATAATTCATTATAGAGCGATGATAAATCAATTCTTTGACGTTGATTTATTCGTTCAATTTTACATTAATGCGGCGACTAATCAGTTAAGAACGACAGGCTTCGGTATCTACTCAATCTATCGAGCAATATAAAAATTAGCTGTAGTTGATACACAGACAAGAAAGCAGAAAAGAGGGAGATGCAAGAATGACGACATTGACGATGATAACATTTTGCATACAAAATAATCAAACAATGTGTTCGGAGCTCATATTTCCTGGACTTTTAGAAAGTTTTATCCACCAGCGTGTTGTTGAACATTATGTTCAATTTAAAATGTGTTTGTGTATCTATTGAACGTTTCTTTCTGTGCAATAGGGAAGTGTGTGAGACAAGCTGAAAGGGGGCGGAGAACCAGAAATCTCTCGTCTCATTTCATTCCTTTTTTTTTGGGGGGGGGGGGGGTTAATTGTCATTTCTGTTACGATTTGTTTTTAACGACTACATGATTGTCTTATCTAATTTTTCTCACAATAACAGAAGTAAGCTTCATCTATCCTAAAATAAAGGTAATGAGGAATCATCGTGGAAGTAAGACCGACTGTGCTTTTATACATGTATCAAATATAAGCTTTTTACTTTTAGATATTGTTTTGATGAAGTTATAAGTATAATTGCATTATGTCGTATGTAATATAAGTTTGCACTATTTTGTATCTTAATTGTGCAATTAATCTATTCGATTTTGTTTGTTGAGAGAAATTCCAAATCAACAACTTCATCAAAATCAATCCCCCCTCTCCCCCAAAAAAACTCAGCCACTGTAGAATGGAGAGCTTTCTTCGCAAGCATAGTGCGTGTGTGCGTGTGTGGATGTGTGTGTTTTTTGGACTAAAGTCTCAATTGATACTTGATTTCTAATGTATTTCTTTTTAGCTTACATTCTTAGTTTTTTACTTCTTGATAAAGGATATAAATCATATGTACCATGCACTCTTTTCGAGGCACCTGTAAATTTAATGATCTTTGGAGACTAGTGCTAAGCCAGTCACAGAGAATTTTTAATTTTAACTGAAGCCTCCCAGTGCATGGTATATTTGATTATTTATTCAGATTTCATTTGGTAACTTTCCATATTTGATCAATATGAGCTGTGGTTGGAGCGATGGATGCGGTTAACGGCGTTGCTGTATCTAGTGGATTAATCATATTCATATTCTGAATATTGGCAACCAATTAAATCATATGAAAAGGATTCAATTCTTAGTCATACACGAGAATTGTCTGGTAATTTATACTCTCTTGCTCTCTCGCATAAAGTAAATACTAACATAATTTTGGGCATTGATTATTAAAGACAAATTGAATATTTTATGAGTATTAAAGAGGGAGAAAGAAATGGAGGGGAAATTAATCGAAAAAACATTTCAGATACCTACTTAATAATCAGTTGTGATGAATACGAATGTAGGTATGTTAAAACGTGAAATAATTCATTATAGAGCGATGATAAATCAATTCTTTGACGTTGATTTATTCGTTCAATTTTACATTAATGCGGCGACTAATCAGTTAAGAACGACAGGCTTCGGTATCTACTCAATCTATCGAGCAATATAAAAATTAGCTGTAGTTGATACACAGACAAGAAAGCAGAAAAGAGGGAGATGCAAGAATGACGACATTGACTATGATAACATTTTGCATACAAAATAATCAAACAATGTGTTCGGAGCTCATATTTCCTGGACTTTTAGAAAGTTTTATCCACCAGCGTGTTATTGAACATTATGTTCAATTTAAAATGTGTTTGTGTATCTATTGAACGTTTCTTTCTGTGCAATAGGGAAGTGTGTGAGACAAGCTGAAAAGGGGCGGGGAACCATAAATCTCTCGTCTCATTTCATTCCTTTTTTTTGGGGGGGGGGGGGGTTAATTGTCATTTCTGTTACGATTTGTTTTTAACGACTACATGATTGTCTTATCTAATTTTTTCTCACAATAACAGAAGTAAGCTTTCTCTATTCTTAAATAAGGGTAATGAGAAATCATCGTGGAAGTAGGATCTACTGTTCTTTTATACATGTATCAAATATAAGCTATTATTTCAGATGTTATATTGATGAAGTAATAAGTATAATTGCATTAAGTCTAATGTAATATAACTTTGCACTATTTTGTATCTTAATTGTGCAATCAATCTATTCTATTTTTTTTGTTGAGAGAAATTCACGATTAACAACTACAACAAAATCGACCCCCTCCAGCAACTGTAATAGAATGAACAGCTTTCTTCGCAAGCACAGTGCGTGTGTGGATGTGTGTGTTTTTGACTAAAGTCTGAATTGATACTAGATTGCTGATGTATTTCTTTTTAGCTTACATTCTTTGTTCTTTACTTCTTGATGAAGGATATAAATTATATGTACCATGCACTCTTTTTGAGGCACCTGTGAATTTAAAGAGTTTCGGAGACTTGTGCTTAGACAGTCACAAAATTTTTATCTATTTTAACTGAAGCCTCTCAGTGCATGGTATATTTGATTTTTATTCAGATTTCATTTGGTAACTTTCCATATTTGATCAATATGGGCTGTGGTTGGAGCGATGGATGCGGTTAACAGCGTTGCTGTATTGAGTGGATTCATCATGTTTAGATTCTGAATATTGACAACGAATTGAATCATTTGAAAAGGATGTAATTCATAGTTGTACACGATATGTCTCTGTTAAAATATTCTCGCATTTTTTTGCCTTGATTAAGACAAATTAAACATTTTATCAGTATCAAACAGGGGAAAGACGTGGAGAGGAAATTATTCAAAACGAACATTTAAAATACCTACTAAATTTTCATTCGTGATGGATACGAATGCAGGTATGTCAAAATGTTGAAAAATTCATTATACGGTAGTGCGATGATAAATCAATTATTTGACGTTGTTTGATTCGTTCATTTTAAATGAATGCGGTGACTTGTCGGTAAAGACCGGCAGGTTGTGGTATCTACTCAATCTATCAAACGATACGAAATCTAGCTGTAGTTAATACTCAGACCAGAAAGTAAATAAAGAAGATAGATGATTCTTGAATCAATTCTATGACGTTAATTGATTTGTTTAATTTTACATGAATGCGGTGACTTGTCGGTAAAGACCGGCAGGTTGTGGTATCTACTCAATCTATCAAACGATACGAAATCTAGCTGTGGTTAATACACAGACCAGAAAGTAAATAAAGCAGGTAGATGATTCTTGAATCAATTCTATGACGTTAATTGATTTGTTCAATTTTACATGAATGCGGTGACTTGTCGGTAACGAGCAGATGGTCATGACAGGCTTCGATATTCTATAAAACTAGAAACTATCTAGACAGTACTTCAACAGAAAGCTGGATAGAGACAATTCGTCACATCAAGCTACGAGAAAGCATATCATCATTTCAACGAATCATACTCGGACACTGCATCAAAATCAGGTAGGCCCAACAGCCATTATAACGTTATACCTCTTGCACATGAAACGTCTTTCCGACTGCGTCTGTTTGTAATTGTATTGATAATGATATCGATTATTTAGTAGCGCTGAAACAAAAAGTACCTCATCGCTTACAAGGTAACAGTATGTGAAGAGAAACTTAAAAATGATAAGTAGGTAAATCATACTTTATAACTGAAGTTAGAAGTACGTTTTAATGGATATTTTGAAAGTGGCCAGACAGTTTATTACTCTAATGGAAAGGGGGATATTGTTCTGCGTTTTCGAAGCATCCGTTGTAAAACATTTTTCGGTAGTTGAGAGTCTGGATTTGGGAATAAGTAATGTATATTCAATTGTTGAGCGTAGTTCTACATTTCTTCGGACATTTCTTCGACTCTTGTGAAACGGGCTTTTAGTACACATTCAACAGGAGCTATGCTTTGGCAATTCTGAGGGGTGCGATGGCCCAGTGATCTCGTAATCGGGGGGTCCCAGGTTAGTAATACTGAAGGGTGGTAGTGTCCTTTGGTAAGGCATTAATCCTCATTTATCACACTGACTTACACCTACTTTCCTAAATTTGTAATTGCTTTCAAAATACTAATTGTTTTCAAACTCAAGCTTGGGTATGAGCCATTATTATTATTGCATGTTTGTGTGGTAAAATATACCTAAAGTTGGTTAAACATTGGTTTTAAGTCTTATCCAACAAACATAATTATATGGTCCTTTTTTAACCTCCTATGTCTAACATTGTGCCCAACACTTTTAAAGGAGAAGTTAGTATAAGTAATGTTACAAGAAGTTGTGTCAAGTACTGCTGTCAGATCATCCATTGAATTCATTTTCTTGCTATTTTTCCCGCCATGATAGCAATTTAAAGACATTACATTCCCCTACCTCTATTCTGTAAAAATGAAACTATGCGTTGACTTTTTATCATCGTATTCTCAAGGAGGGTGGGGTAAAGCCGTTAAGTGTATGAAATGACAGCAGTGCATGCAGAAGTGGGCCGGGAACATCGTCTTTCAACAGGGCATTAAACAGGACATTAAAGAAGTCGAAGAATGTGATTGAATGTAGACATTCTGAAGCCTTCCGCCTTGCATTCGTCAGAGCAAACCGCAATTCCACTATCTTCTGGCAGTCAATCGTCTCGAAACCCGTCATTATTTTATAGCGCAATTTGTTCCTTTCGTTATAACATAATATTGTCCCATTTCGGCTTTCTCTTTATTCTTGATGAGTGGTAAAAGGAAATTTTCAGTACGTCACTATTCAATGCTGATATTCTTAATTGTGTTGCAATTTCACCGTAGCTTTGATCAAATGATAAAAATGTATTCCATGTTGATTCTATTTTCCTTAGACTTTGAAAATGGCGTCAAAAACCATGATTGCTCTCTACTTTCTGATTGTCTTGGCTGTGGCAGCAAGTGTTTTAGTTGAGGAAGATGCGATCGACAATTCCGATGCCTTGGATGTCGAGGAGAACGGCGACAAAAGAAGAAAGAACAAACCAATAGTTGGTAAGCGATTCATTTTTAAAGTTGTCACCCAACTAAACGAATACAATTACAAAACAATCAATCTAGAAAATAAATGTTATACATATTTACAAACATATACAAAACACAAACAATATTTATCAAAGGTAAACAATGGAATATTTGCTGGGAATTACAACATATCAATTATTTTATTCACTTCTTTGACATTGAATTGTTGAATTCCTGAATGTTTCAGATAAGACCTAATGATGATATGAATTCAACGATCAGCCTTTTGTTATAAATGTTGTAAATTGTTTAATCTGTTTCTTAAATAAGAATTGTACGCGGTAATTTGTCCAAAATTTATCAAAAAATGTATCAATTCAAACTTCGGGTTTTTTTTTTACCCAATTAGCAACATTTCCATATTTATTACGATTTAACACTTTTAGAAAGATACTTGTTATCACTTCTCATCCTCGCCAATGATATCTCCTGATAAATTTAGTTACCAACCAAGTTTTGTTTGATTTGATTTGATTCATTGATTTATTATTGTTTCAATCATTTTTTTGTCTATTATATTTGTATTGCAGCATGTGTATATTATGGTCAATCGTGTACCTGCCAGGGAAAAAGAGTACTAACGTGTGGTAAGTCAAGCATGAACAATATCTTCAAAACTAAAGAAATAGAATGCTCTTTTCTATGAATGATAATAGTCCACCTCTCAATTTTCGTTTCGACATCTCTGACTATTAGATAGTCATGAAAATGAGAAAGGTCAAGGAAGACAAACTTGAACATTTGGCAAAATATATTCCTTTCGCTGTCATCTGTACCACCACAACTGTAACCATTCTCAACATGATCCATGCATGTAATTTTTAACGTAATGATTAAGTTAATAATAGCAATACTGCTAATGCTGATATAAGACTCGGGTATGTGCAGTACATGCACGCATAATACTATTGGTAACATGAACGATGGTCATGTTCAGCGGCATGGTAATTATTAATGAGTGTCTTGTTTTTAAAGACTACACAGGAGTACTCAATGCAGTCATGACACAAGAATGCATTTAAGTTTGCATAATTTTGATCTAAATGACTTTACATAAAATTAAACAAATAACAGTATGGAGTGGATGTTGATTTCCTACAAGTCAGGCTCATACAACCATAGTTGTCATCATCAATAGTATGATAAAACAATTACTGTACACACGACATGGTACTTTCTCTGTTTTAGGATTACCCTTTTGTATATAGCTAATGGAGTTATTTCTAATCACCTAAAGTTAGTTATAATTGGGAGAATTATGCAGTCCATATTTTTCCAATATGTTCTTCACAATATTAGAAGAGCTGGGTAAAATTTTACACATAAAAGGGGGAAAGGGATCATGCATGTTTGTTGGGTAAGAGTTAAAGTAATGTTTAACCGTTTCTTTTGTTTCCCTTTTCTCTTCTTTTTCTCCTTTTCTTTCTTTTTCCCTTTCTTCCCGCTCCTTCCTCTTTTTCTTTTTCGATTCCTCATGCTCTTGCAACTCTCTTCCATCGTTGTTTAATTATCTTTAAAAAAACAATCCTTTCTCCTTTTACTTTTTCCATTTTTTTTTTTGGGGGGGGGGGGGGGTGGGTGGGGGATGCACGCCTGGTAAGAGGGACCCAATATTATGCACACTGTAAAATTGCGTACCCCCCGCCCCTTTCCTGATAAAAAAAACCTTTTTATAATATCATCCGTCTTTCTTTCTTTTTTCCTTCTCATTATTCTCCTTTTTCCCCTTTTCTCTTCTCCGTCTTTCCCCCTTTTCTTCCTTTTCCGCCCTTTCTCTCCTCTCTCTCTTCCCCTTTCTTCCTTTCCCTAAATCCGCCACTGGTATAGTTGTAAAGATGTACAGTTTCCTTCGTTCTGATTAGCCGGCTGGGTAGACGTATAGTCATACAGTTGTATAGTTGTACGGATAGTGGCATGCTTGGCCCGCCATAATTATACCCCGCCATATTAACCTCGACTAGCTCTTTAAACACGACCTTTACCCTAAGGTAACTTTTCTCCTCTACTGCTCACAGAGTGCACATATACACCTCTTCATTATCCCTCTACCAGAATAACACCATACCACATAACACTACTGCTTCTGAAATGCAATCGGTACATGCACATTGTAAGGAAACAGCAAAAACACATGAGAAAATAATATATAAATATATATAATCAATTTTAAAACTGCCCCTTTTCTTTTATTTCAACAGATGGGCGGTAGCAACAGTAGCACTGAGAAGTTCGGGAAGCAGGCTAGCTGGATATTCTCCATGTGGTCAGACGACTTCTCCGTTTGTTGAGACTTTTGTGAAATAAATGCAAAAAAAACCCCATTAGTAATCAGTCAACACTGACCTTAACCCTAACCCAAACGAATTTATTACCCTGCCTTAAAAAGAAAAATTGAAATACGTATATAAACATATATATATACAATTCGAATCTCGGTTCAAAGGAAAGTAACAATTTGCCTACATGTAACTAAATGTAGTTTTGTGTTGACAACAGGTTAGCCAATTCACTGGAAAATTTGATTCTTTGATTTAATGCATTGAAGAGTTGGATCTTGTACATATGCTTCAACGTAGAGGAACCGTGCAAATAAAACCATTAAGGTGTATACATTAATATAAATCAATGACTTTATTAAACGTAATGTTCCGATTTATTTTCAAATGTCTAATCAGCTGCTTTATTCTCTGACACATTATGCACAAAACGGTCTCATTAAACGGAATGACGTAATAATTCCTTCTTGTGTTATTTACTTGTGTTCATGTCGTGAGAGGGGTAATTATGAAAAATAGAAGGGAGAGAGAGAAAGAGAGAGAGAGAGAGAAATGAAAGAGAGAATGAGAGAGAGGGAGGGGAGAGATAGACAGGGAGCAGGCATATCAGAGAGGTAGAGAGAGAGACATGGATCAGGCATATTTATATATAGAGAGAGATAGAGATTGTAGGAAGCCTGTATAGAGGATACGAGAGAGAGACAGAGAGACAGAGAGAGAGAGAAATGAGGGTAGGAGCTCATGCCATGTTCAGTTAAATACAAACATCTTCAGAAATTACAAGATGATAAATCAAGCATGAGTTGATGCCTTTGTTGTATTGCTATTATATATTTCATATTAAATACCTTCTTTGACAATAGTCTGCTTGTAAAGCAAATAAACAAACACAAACAAACCAGGAAGTCATAAATACTGGATAATCAAACTGCTGGGATTACAGACACCTTTCCTTATTTTGTTACTAACTATTCTATTCACTGGTCCAGATTATCACGAACCCCACCAGGGGAACAGCATTATTTATATAATATTGGATGGCTTTGAGTGTGATACAAGAATATTATATTGCTCGAGATAAGACAATATATTCTTGTATGACACGAAAACAAAACCATACGATATTATTATTATTATCAATATTATTCTCACTAGCGAAATAACAAAAATTAAATTAAATTTGGCTTTGTTTTCGTGTGATATCGATATCATTAGTTGAAGTTCCTGGATGACTGAGCAATACTCAAGAGGTAGTGAGCACTATTTTTTTTTTTTTTTGCCCTCGAAAATTTGAAAAATCGCACCACCCCTCCCCCTTGAGCGCCGGGGGGGGGGGGGTCGTCCATCTCCAAAAAAAGGTAAAATTAACGTGTTTGTAAGGGGGTTCGAGCCCCCCCCCCCCCCTGGATCCGCCACTGCCCTTTTGCTAACAGTGACCATTCATTGATTTCTCTGAATCGATGGCCACTTGTGTCGCCTAAGTGTTCGATTTTCCCATCGGCCTTAATACCGAGATTCTGCTGTTCGATCGGCTTTCGGACAGTGGATAACCGAGATGGATTGGTTAGTCATCAATACTTTACCCAATACAAAAAAAAACAAAGAAAATACAATACACTAAATTATCAATAATTCATTGCATTTTTCCCCGATCCCCAACATAAACAAATTTTGTATGGAGGCAAGCCTTGAACCATAATGCATGGCCCTACAGAGGAATTTGTCCTGTTGGGGACCGGGGGGGGAATGCAATGAATTATTGATAATTTATTGCATTTTCTTTGTTTATTGTATTTGTGGGGGCGGCGACGTACCCTAACCCCCGCTGCGTACAGTCATGATTAATTGGCTAAGCAATGGCCTTGTTACTGTGAGGCCCCAGAATAAAAACCGTGTCGATCAGCTATATTAGTGCCCTTTTCGGAGGCATTAATCCTCATTACTGTCAGTTATGACTTAAGGACGTAGGTCCCCTAGTTGATTAGCATAGTAGCACACATATGCTTTAGCAGTCACGCAAAACAAACAATCGCAGATTAATATTCAATAAAATCTGAGAATGTATACTATCATTTAGATCTATTAGGAATTAACCATTGTAAAAATGCTTCCATAAATTGGGGTAAAAATAATTATTCCACCTTTATGACCAACAGCTAGTATACAAACGTCTACTAATACTGTGTGAGTCTGGACACATGATGGCGTTTTTCTATACACATCACATTTTCACTTGGCAGCAGCCCAAGGGGGGGGGGGGGGTTAAACGCCCCTTAAACCCCCTATTACCAACGCTCCTCCTCCTCTCCCTTCTCTCCCCTTTCCTTTTCTTTTCTGCAAGTCACTCTTTTTTATTTTTATTTTGTATTGTTGTATCTAAGTTGAGGGCTGCCGGCACGTCAAGCTACTTTGCTTATTTCTGTAGCCCTCCTGCATCTAATGTATGTTAATTATGCATTCATTGTATATGTTTAAATTCAATATATTTGTTTAATATCGTTTATTATCTGTATAAAATTATATACACTTGAAATATTGTATCAAGCCATATTATGTTCATGAAAATGAATGATGAAAAAAAGAAAAAAGATGCAGAAACCAATAAATCAAATCAAATCAAATCAAATAAAACCAACAGGACTTTGTTCCTACCAGTAAAATAACCTCCAGATTTTTTCAAGTTTTTTTTTATATAGAGTGAATAACATGTACAATTGACTTATAAATTATGTTTATGTACTTTAAGTTTACTTTGTTGCTCAGTAATATATACTTCAAATGAGTTTTTGTCTAATTATATTTATGTATAAGCAATTATTGAACCAGTTTATGTATTTAAATCAATTGTATATGTCGTTCTTGTGTGGCTTACATTTGGAGGAATAAAACAAAATAAAGAAAGTTAAAAAAAAGTATGCGTGTTAATATGTGTAAGGTGTAGGCTATATGTATTTGGGCGGGGGGGGGGTAGGGGTGTATGAGACGAGCTAGAAGGGAGACAGGAATGAAACGTCTCTCGTCTCATGTTATTCCTTTTCTTTGATTCTAATTTCTTTTAGGACTTGGGTTCTAATTTGGTATATATTGTGTTGATGAGGTTATAAGCATGATTGTATTAAGCCCTATGTAATATGATTTTGCAGTATTTTGTATCTCAATTGTGCAATGAATGTATTCGATTTTGTTTGTTGAAAGAAAAAAAGTAAAGTTACATTCCAAATCAACAACAATAACAAAATTATTCCCCCCCCCGAAAAAAACAGCAACTGTAATAGAATGGACAGCTCTCTTCGCAAGCACACTGTGTGTGTATGTGTATTTTAGACAAAATTCTGGATTGATACTTGATTTCTGATGTATTTCTTTTTTGCTTACATTCTTAGTTTTTTACTTCTTGATAAAGGATATAAATCATATGTACCATGCACTCTTTTCGAGGCACCTGTAAATTTAATGATCTTCGGAGACTAGTGCTAAGCCAGTCACAGAGAATTTTTGATTTTAACTGAAGCCTCTCAGTGCATGGTATATTTGATTATTTATTCAGATTTCATTTGGTAACTTTCCATATTTGATCAACATGAGCTGTGGTTGGGGGGATGGATGCGGTTAACAGCGTTGCTGTATGTAGTGGAATCATCATATTCATATTCTGAATATTGGCAACGAATTGAATCATATGAAAAGGATTCAATTCTTAGTTGTACACATGAATTGTCTGGTAATTTACTCTCTCTTGCTCTTTCGCATATAGAAAATACTAACATAATTTTGTGCATTGATTAAGACAAATGGAATATTTCATGAGTATTAAAGAGGGAGAAAGAAATGGAGGGGAAATTAATCGAAAAAACATTTCAGATACCAACTTAATAATCAGTTGTGATGAATACGAATGTAGGTATGTTAAAACGTGAAATAATTCATTATAGAGCGATGATAAATCAATTCTTTGACGTTGATTGATTCGTTCAATTTTACATTAATGCGGCGACTAATCGGTTAAGAACAACAGGTTTCGGTATCTACTTAATCTATTGAGCAATACGAAAACTAGCTGTAGTTGATACAAAGAAAAGAAAGCGGAAAAGAGGGAGATGCATAAATGATGATATTGACGAATAAAAGTTTGCATACAAAATAATCAAACAATGTGTTCTGAGCTCATATTTGCTTGACTTTTAAAAAGTTTTATCCACCAGCGTGTTGTTGAACATTAAGTTCAATTTAGAATGTGTTTGTGTATCTATTGAACGTTTTTTTCTGTGCAATAGGGAAGTGTGTGAGACAAGCTGAAAAGGGGCGGGGAACCATAAATCTCTCGTCTCATTTCATTCCTTTTTTTACGATTTTTTTTTTTTTTTTGGGGGGGGGGGGGTAATTGTCATTTCTGTTACGATTTGTTTTTAACGACTACATGATTGTCTTATCTAATTTTTCTCACAATAACAGAAGTAAGCTTTCTCTATTCTTAAATAAAGGTAATGAGAAATCATCGTGGAAGTAAAACCGACTGTGCTTTTATACATGTATCAAATATAAGCTTTTTACTTTTAGATATTGTTTTGATGAAGTTATAAGTATAATTGCATTATGTCGTATGTAATTTAACTTTGCACTATTTTGTATCTTAATTGTGCAATTAATCTATTCGATTTTGTTTGTTGAGAGAAATTCCAAATCAACAACTTCATCAAAATCAATCCCCCCCCCCCCAAAAAAAAAAACTCAGCCACTGTAGAATGGAGAGCTTTCTTCGCAAGCATAGTGCGTGTGTGCGTGTGTGGATGTGTGTGTTTTTTGGACTAAAGTCTCAATTGATACTTGATTTCTGATGTATTTCTTTTTAGCTTACATTCTTAGTTTTTTACTTCTTGATGAAGGATATAAATCATATGTACTATGCACTCTTTTCGAGGCACCTGTAAATGTAATGATCTTCGGAGACTAGTGCTAAGCCAGTCACAGAGAATTTTTAATTTTAACTGAAGCCTCTCAGTGCATGGTATATTTGATTATTTATTCAGATTTCATTTGGTAACTTTCCATATTTGATCAACATGAGCTGTGGTTGGGGGGGGGGGGGGTGGATGCGGTTAACAGC